CCCCAGCTCCGCTGCCCTTCTCTGGACACGCTCCAGCCCCTCCATGTTCTTCTGGGAGTGAGGGACCCAACACTGAAAACAGTATTTGAGCACTCTGAAAATTACAGCAATGAAACCGCTGCCTGGGACAGCCTCTCCTCTGGTTCTGTTTTGTCCTTGTTGGAGACAGGCAGAACAAAAGAGCTTTCAGTGCCTGACTTGCAAGGGAGGGATTATCCCCACAGACGGGCCCCTGCGCTGCTGCTCTCCGATGTCGATCCGTGTCTGCCGGGACCTCTGTCCGGTTGGATGAATCAAAGCTGCCATGTCTCTAAGCCGGGCTGGGGTTAATCTGAGCGATGTTCCCTGGCCCGGCACTAATCCTCATGCCCGGGGGAGTTTGATTCAGTGGCTGGACCACCTGCAGGCACGCGGTCTGGGCTGGCAGAGGCCACGCAGCTCTGTGGCATGCATCTATCTCCTCATCATCCCAGGGCCAGCGCGTGGCTGTGCGAGGCTGGATTTAACCGTCAGAGGCAGTGGGACGTTTGTCTCCAAGGGCTGTTTTGCAGCCGTTTAGATCCATATCCCTGTTGTTTGTCCAGTTTGTGCCAGTTGCTGTGGAGGGAGAATAATTACCCCCTTGGCTGCTCCGAGCAGCTATCCTCGTGTCCCTTGTGCTGCTGGTTTTACCACTCCTCCTTCTCCTCCATCCCTCTGCCTCCCCACCAAGGCCGGAGCACCCTAACACCCCTGCTCTACTCTGCAGGAACCTCAGCCCCAGAGTAAGAAGCCAAAGACTGAGAGCTGGGAGCGGAGCGTGGGCAAATTGAACACCAAGCCCCAGCTGGCTGGGCTGGTTACAGTGAAGAAGCAGAAGCCAGGTCCTGCCCTGGCTAACAGGACAGAGAACCAAGGCACCGCAGCCAACACCGGTAACTGCTCACGTGGGGATGGGGTGGCCTGAGCTGGGCCACCAGGGAGGGGTCTGACAGCACCCAAGTGACGTTTAGCTCTGTCTTCAGAGCCTGACGGCTCCCAGGTCAAGTCCTTGTTGTGGGACAGATGGGACCATGATGGTGTAAGAACGGGGGGGTTGTCCCCATTTCCAGGAGATGTCCCAACAGAGGAGAGGCTGCTTCCTGGCCCTTGGCTGTAAGCCAGGGCCTTGAAGACAGACTGTCAGGGCCAGCAACTTCAAAACAGCATCTCAGTGCACAGATATGCTGCTGGGAACCGTCACAACAGCAAGATAGGAATGGAAAAGCAAGAAAATTGCTTTGGTTTGGGGCCTGATTATAAAACCTGCCAAGCTGTCGGAATTTGGAAGCTTTAAAGTGGTGAAAACAAGCAGAAAGGTTTTCTAGCACCTTGTAGTTCACTATCCCAGGAAGCCAGAGGATTTGGAGAAGGAGCTGATGAATTGATTGATTCTGGGCTGATTGGTCCTAAGCCTTTGGCTTAGTAAGTCTCTCTGTCCTCAGGGGATCCCTGGGGAAGGACAGCTCTTGTAGTTGCCCCATTTTTGATCTGCTTTCCCCAGCCACCTGCTCCTGGCTGCTGGCAGGGTCTGTTCAGCCAAACGATGCCGGAGGAGCCGCCCATCTTTCAAGGGCTCAGGGCTTTCTGCCCATGATGCTGCCTCATGCTTGTGGCTGGCGTGGTCAAAGCTGAGAGCTAGCTCCTCTCCTCCTTCCCAGTGTCTGGAATCTCCCAGGGGCTTGTGGAGGGAGAAGGGGGTTTTGCAGACCTCAAGCCAACCTCGCTGCTTCAGCCCATTGCCGCAAGGCAGAAGCAGGAGGCTCCAGCCAAGGGGGCGCGGGGTCTCCTTGTCCACCCGATTTAACCTTGCTGTCCTCATCAAGATTCAGGCTGGGGGATGAGGCGCGGGCTCTGGCTGCCTCATCTCCAGCTGTGAGCAGCCGGAGCGACAAGGCAGGCCCGTGTTTCCGTGCGGCTGGTTGCGCCGAGCCAGAGGGGGTTGTGGGCGATGGGGAGGGCCCCACCTGATGGCGTCTGCTCTCTTGCTCGGCTTCCAGGCTCGTTTCCCACAGCAACGGGCACCACGTCCTCTCTCGGCTTGTTGGGGGCGTATTCGGACAGCGAGGACAGCGCGAGTGACTGATGAGCGCCCGAGCCAGCCCGGAGCAGGGATCGCAGGCTGTTCCCCCGCCTGGCTGACGGCAGCCGCTCCTCCCTGGCTATCACCACCAGCTGACCAAACTCCGATGAGTTGGGCAAGAAGACAGCTTCCTCAGAGGAGGGCAACGCTGCTGCGTTGTGGCTGGTGGAAAGCCCTGAGGCTGTCCCAGGCTGGCTGTGCCCAAACCCGGCTCCCAGCCAGCCCCGGAGCTCGATGTGTCCCAGCCCTGCAACCAGAACATGTTCAGAAGTGCTGGGGCCAGCAGGGACTGTGTGGTTTCTCCTTTCTGGCAGTGCCCACTGCCCTCGCCCCCATGCTGGTCATACCTGGGTGCGTGACACCGACCCTCCTGCAGCAATAGAGGGACCTCAGGGCCCTCCTGCCCTGCATCCCCGCTGGGAGCAGGGGGAAGGCAGGAGCTCAGCACCCTTCTCTTGCTGCAGGAGGAACCACCACCACCGCTTTACTGGCCCTGGGTGCCTCCAGTGGGGCTCAGATCCCACCTTTGTGGGGTGAGCCCAAGTCCCTCATTGTTTTGCTGTGAGGTGTCACATTCTGGTCCAGCCCCACACTGGGGCGCCAGGGCTGCCCTAGCTGGGCTTCCTTCCCCTGCCCAAGTACCCCTGCACCCCAGCCGTCCCCAGCAGCTTGGTGACAAACCCCTCCCCGCCCTTTGGAGAGCAATGGGGTTTGCTCAGCTCACCAGCAGCCACGACCCGGTAATAAATTGGATGTTTCAGAGCCAGTTGCCTCTTATCTTCCAGAGCGGTAATTTGTACGTGGTCAATGGGTCCCACTGGCGTGGGGCTGGCAGGAGCAGCCCCAGGGACCCCAGCAGTGTGGGTCCACCTGCCCCAACCTGGGTGCTTCCTCCTCTTCTCACCTATGTCTCTTAACTTCCTCCCTATCAAGGCACCCACCTCTAACTGATGAGCAGCTTCTCGCTAATTAACCCGCCCAAAGAGCCTCGGGAATGGCTCTGGCATGGGCT